TGATCGGTGAAGGAATGGTATTATAGTTCAAAACCAGGATGTTGTTTGTCTTGGATGGGAACTTGATGTCCTTATCCTTCTTCATTAGTAGAGGTTGTGGGTTCTGAAGATGCTGTTGAAAGAGCCCTGGTGAATTGCTGTAGTTCATGTTGTAGACTATGTTCACTGCTGGCACTTTCTATTGTTGGAGGGAATGGATGGTGGATGGGGTCAAAACTAAAGTGGGCCTAGTCTTGATCTTTGGGGTACTGCACTTCCCAACTGACGTGCAGTCCATCAAACTCATTTGTTCTTTTTTTTTTAAACAATATATCCATGCTACGATGTACAGACAAAGAATTGGTTTGTGGGGGTGCAAAAGGGAGGGGCTGTCTGTTTAACAATTTTACACTGTTCCATTAATTATCAGGAAAATTGGTATTGGTCACTGTACAGATAGCATGGGCAGGAATCTCCCAATCAGAGAGGGGATTCTTTAGCCAAATTGAAGTGGGAATATTTTAATTGTGGTCAAGGCAGCTTTCCTTTCATGGAAGCTAGACAGTATTGAATGTGTTTCTCGTATCCAATGTAAATAGGCAATTCAGTTCATGTTTCTGGAGGTGAGAACTGGAGCTGTAAGGGAGAACTATTATCTGAAATCGTCGAGTGGCTGGAATCTCACATCACCTGATCTGAATTTGCTTCATCGTCTCCCCTATTTTCTGCGTTCTGGACCTTGCACCTCCTTCCATGTTTCGATTTGAAAAGTGATAAATTTCTTGCATCTTCTCCGTTTTGCAGTATTTTTTTAAAATAAACCTTTTAGTGACCTCCATTGACAGAATAACAAATTGTGAATGGTTCCATTACATATTTGTTATTTTCTAGATGATTTCTGAATTTATAAAGAATAAATATCAGTCAGTCAGTCAGTCGGTCATATTAAATTGCCAGTGCCAGGATCCCTATCGCTAAAATTTGGATGATTAAATCTGAATTTTCAGCGCTTTTATTTTTGGCTCCAGAATTTTGCTGATACAATGAGCTCAAGTAATGCAGACCCTGTAATATTATCCACATAAAATGCTGTAGGGTTAGAATGATGCTGAGATTTTGCAATTTGAAGTAACTTGATCATCTTTATAGAATAAATGGGTTGGCAGATTTGGCTCTGCTAATCTGAACTATCTCTCATTATTCCAGCAGCTTCGTGGAATGTTCAACTTTTCCTTCATGTTTGTTGCAGCTTTCTGTCGAGCTATTGGTTTGATGAACAGCACTGTAAACAGCCTCAGCAACTCGTGCTGATTCACATGGGTACCATCCCAAATGTCAAATCCTGTTTATATCATAGGGCATGATGATTGCTGTTGGTCCAAAATTCTGCACTTCTGCTCTCTGAGCAATTACCTCCTATCTGCCACATTCTCCTGTGCTAATTGTGTTATGTTTTGGCCTTTTTTAATAAATTATATCTGTTGTTCGTTACTACTGTGTGGTTCAATTTCAGATCCACACTTTTTGATACAAAATTGTGAAGAATTTCCATTGATGTGAAATGGAAAATTGTTTTGCCAAATAAAGTATTTGTGTATTTTTATGTTGTCTTAAAATGGCTGAGACCTTTAATAGCACATCTGACACAAAGGAAATTGAGGTGATTTTCAACATTTGAACATCTTGGAAAGGCAGTGGACGGAGTAAGTGCATGCCTGGTATTAATATTATCACTATTAACTATTGTCATATTCAAACCTCATTTGTATTGGGTCATGGAATAACAGGCTTTCTGTATGGCAGCTAAACCAGAATTTGACTCCATAACACTGATAAAATGAACGTAAGGGAAGCACCTCTGCAAGGTCCACTCAGTGACTGGCAGTGCAGCTCAATTCTTTGGTGAACAGGTTCCTGCTTTCAGGTTTGGTTGCTCAAGGCTTAGTATAATGGACTGAGAATGCACAGGGCAAACTCCACTCATTGGTGCTAAAATTTGATATTTGCATATTTGGGTAAGCTTCTCATTGTGTCAGGTAAGAGCTCTGGCTACCATTTACAGCTTCATCTCAAAATTGTTTCAGTTCACTATTGGGCTGGGTGTTTAGATTTTACATATGCAGTTATCTGCTGCCTCAATTCAATGGATGGCTGTTGAAAATCTCCCTCAAGGTTAATTTTTTTGAGGCTCTTGTCTGAGTGAACACAAGTTTTATTTTAACCTTTGTCTGGATGGTTTGATGATGACAAGAATTATCTTTTGACATGTACACGATAGGCATTTTTTATGCCCCTCTCTCTCTACCTAACCTCTTTACTCGATAACCATCTGAGATCTCCAGTCTTCCAATTCTGACCTCTCTTCCATCTCTGATTTTCATTGCAAAGTCATTACTCACTTTGTCTTCAGCTGCCTAGACCCTAAGCTCTGGAATTTCCTTTCTAAAGCACTCCATCTCCTTATGTTTCTCTGGTCCTCCTTTAAAACACACCTTAAAACTGATCTGATTGGTTTATTGCCTCTCCCACAATCCATCACCTTTTGTGGCTCAGTGTTAAATACAATATAATAACGCTCCTGTGAAGCACCTTGAGATATTTCACTAAATTGAAGGCACCTACAGATCTTAAGTCTTGCTGCTGGGCATAGCACAGCAAATTGCAACCTTTCTGGAGACTGCAGCTGGTAAATACTGAAAGTTACCTGAAGCACTTGTTTGGCACATTGACAATCTGCTCAATCACATCTGGTGGGGATATGACATTCAGTTGTGCTGTTGGGTGGTAAAGTTGGAGTTTCTCATAGGTACCATGACATGACCCAAGTTTGCGGTGGGTGCCCCATGTCTCCTAGCAGCCTCTCCTTAAGCGAACTTCCAGACCGAAGAGAAGAGAACTTGGCTGCCACCGAGAGTAAGTCTGAGGGAATAATTTTGCAGTTGTATATTTGCTGTACATTAAAGAAGGCAAAGCCCATATGGTTGTTCTAGGTTCCCTGCATTACCTACTCTAGTACTATCCATCTCAACCAATATTCTTTGGATCTTGGTATTACTCTGTAGTGTGATATCCTTGCTCCCCCACCCCTTCCAATTACTTTAAGACTGCCTCAGTAGCGCCAGCAAATTGCCCTGCAAAGAAATTGGTTCATGGCATATCGCGTTTGTGGGAAATCAGGCAGAGCCACAAAATTGAAACCCTCTCAATCTCACTACAAGAGGGAATGTATCAAAATGTAAATCAGTCTTACAATGCATAAATGTAAATACAAGGCAATAGGTAAATAAGATTGTTGAGTTGTAGGCACAGATAGCCAAGTGGAAATTTGTAGTGAGAGCAGAGACCTAGCTCAAAGAAGGGTAGACCTAGGTATTAAATTTTCTTGGGTACAAGGTATTCAGGAAAGATAGGAAGGAAGGAAAGGTGGTATGGTGGCAGTATTGATTAAAGATCATTGCAATGTGGGGATAGAAAGGATGTCTCGGATGATTCAAGGACGGAATCTATTTGACAAGAACAAAGAAGGCATGAATACATTGTGTGGTATATTCAATAGGCTACCAACCATTGGGGAAGGTGGAGAAGAACCAATTTGCAAGGAGATTACAGAGAAATGCAAGAATTAAAGAGTAGTTAGAATATGGGGGAAATATTCATATGAATACAAACTGGTACAGTCATAGTATAAAGGCAGAGAGGGACAAGACGTACTGAAATTAGTTCAGGAGATAGGTTTCCTTCTTTGAGAAATTCTCAAAAAAAAAAGTCCTCAATGGTTACGTTTTGATTTTCGGGGCTATATTTCCATTTTTGGATCTGTGTTTTCATTCTCATTAACTCAATTATTAAGTAAGTGATGCAGTTGTATTGTAGTAATGTCTTCTGTATTTGGACACACGTAGAAGCAGAATTAGAGTAATTCATCAATAGGAGTTTTCAAAATCATGAGGGATTTGGACAGAGGAAAGAGGGAGAATGAGCGGAATGGTCGCGAACTGGGGACATCTATTTCAGGTAATTGGCAAAATATTCAAGTTGCACAAGAAAAAAATTATTTACACAGCAACTGGTAAGAATTGGAATGCTCTGCCTGAGTGTGTTGAAGGTAGGTTCAGTTGAGAGGTTCAAGGCTGGGACTTTTTTCCCTGGAGCGTAGGAGGCTGAGGGGTAACCATATAGAGGTTTATAAAATCCCCTTCATTGCTCAGACCTTTGAGTATAGGAGTTGAGGCATCATATTGAGGTTGTCCAGGACATTAGTGAGGCCTCTTCTAGAATACTGTGTCCAGTACTGGTTGCCCTGTTATAGGAAGGATATTATTAAGCTAGAGAGGGTTCAGAAGAGATTTACCAGGTTGTTGCTGGTATAGAAGGTTTGAATTTTATAAAGAAAGGCTGGATAGGCTGGGAATCTTCACTGGAGTGTAGGAGGTTGAGATGTGACCTTATAGAGGTTTATAAAATTATGAGGAGTATACATAGGGTTAATGGTAAGTATCTTTTCCCTAGGTTGGGGGATTTCAATACTAGGGGGCATATTTTTAAGGTAAGAGTAGAGAGATTTTAAAAAAGGGGCAAGTTTTTTACACAGAATGGTTTGCATATGGAATTAGCTTCCTGAGGAAGTGGTAGAAGCAGGTACAGTTACAAAAAGACATTTAGATAAGTATATGAAGAGGAAAAGTTTGGAGGGATATGGGCCAGGAGCAGGCAGGTGGGACTAGTTTAGTTTGGGATTATATTCAGCATGGATTGGTTGGACTGAAGGTTCTGTGCTGTTATGACTCTATGACTAGTGTTGAGGGATGGAATGCCCTCCATATGGAGCATGCAGTAACAGTATCGAGGACATAAATAGCACACTTAAATTAAATACCTCTTTCTGTACATCCCAGTCTGCCCCAGATAAAATAATTTTTTTTTTCCTTCACGATTGTGAGATTACCTGTCTTAATATTGCTGTGAAATTGCCAGGATGTGTCAAACAATCTTCAATGAGGTTTCTTTTTTTTTTTTTGCAGGTTGCCATGGTTGAAGTGCAGCTGGAAATGCAATACAACTATCCCAAGTTTCTGCTCATTGCTTTCAGTGCCTGCACAACTGTGCTGGTTGCTGTTCACCTCTTTGCCCTTCTGATCAGCACTTGCATCCTCCCTAATGTAGAAGCGGTCAGCAACATTCATAATCTCAACTCTGTCAACGAGTCGCCCCATGAGCGCATGCACTACTACATCGAGCTAGCTTGGGGTTTCTCAACTGCGCTGGGCATTTTACTGTTTCTCACAGAGGTGGTACTGCTTTGCTGGATCAAGTTTCTACCAGTAGACAAAGCTGTGACAAATGACAAAGAGACTGGTCCAGTCCAGGCAGGCAATGGGCACACTGGGTGGAATGCAGCTTTGGCATCCACTATTATTATGGTACCTGTGGGCCTTATTTTTGTGATTTTCACAATACACTTCTACCGTTCACTGGTAGGGCACAAAACAGAGCGTCACAATCAAGAGATTGAAGAGCTGCATAAACTGAAAGTGCAACTGGATGGTCATGACCGGGTCCTGCAAATGGTTTGAAGCAGTTAAAAATGGCAAAAATAAAAGATTTAATTCCTCGACTATCCTGGGATCTGGGCTTGTACAGAACCTCTCATTGCAAGTGCCACGTGGGTGCGTGTTTATTCAGGAATTCGGGTTTACAGCTATGGCTTTTAGTTGTCTTTGTGGTTGCAGCACTTGCTGCATTGTCCAATGAAAAAATATACCAAGGCTCGTGCAACTTTCTCACTGTCACCAAATTGAGATGTAAAACTGGAATTCTGAGGCTATCTAAAAATGCTTCAGATTACGTGGATTCTACACCAACTGTTGATGAACTGTGATTTGAACTAAAAGGACCCTGATTTTTTTTTTGGAAAAAGCATAATTCCTTACAGGCCAAAAAACAGCTGTCACTCCAGATTGAAACGGATCATGAGATGTGGTTCAATGCACAGTTTTCCCCAATGCACATATGTTTTTTAACAGTACAAGAGTGAATGCAGGTCCGGAATTTGGTGTACATGGAGAGTGATGGATTGGAAAAACAAGGAAAACTGAATGGAGGATCCAGAAATGTGCTTATTGAATGGTGTTTGGCCTGTTTGTCAAACATGAAAACTTGTCACAGTAGAATCTTCCCCTCCCTATCCCATACCAAAATTGCTATTAACAGTTTTTATAAATATGAAAACAAAACCAGCTTTCTTTTTTTCCCAGGTTCTTGCAGGTGTAAATGATATCCAATGCTGCTCCCAACTGGTCAGAAGAGTATTATAATGAAGTAGGACTGCCACTTGATTTCTGCTTTGCAGCATTACTGCTTTGGGCTAATACTATCAGGAGCTCGCTGGACTGTGGGCGCAGCCAATGCCCCTTTATTCCGTGGCAAGGTGCACTAATGTTGCATTGTGATGCGCCACAGTGCCTCCGTATTATTAACAATGAGTTATTCAAATCCTGAGATGAATCAGCTTTAATGTGATGCCCCAGATAATGATGTATATATGATGTATATGTATAATGATGTTCAGGGTATTGAATTGTTCTGATCTCAACAGGCAATGTCACCACTGATTGGATTGAAATGGAGACCTGTCATCTGTTGAACTTCTTGAAGTAAACAGGGATTGCTCATGGCAAAAAGGGGAAATATTTTCTGATGTAAATTTAAGTCCAGCTTTGAGCTATTTGGACACTACTTACTTAACTTGTAATCATGGTACCGTCCAGCACTGGGGAGCCTGGCCCTTTGCTTTACTCAGCTAAAGATTCTCAAGACTATGTTTTAATGTATCTTAATATCAGAGGAGCCAATTGTCACTAGCTAAATTTGTTAAATATTAGATATCACTTGAATTATCAGTTACAAGAGTAGAGGTGACATTTTCTTGTATGAGGTTTGGAGCAAATCTGGAGTATTTAGAAGCTGAGCCAGTTTGAATTACGAATATTGAAATAAATCCAAATGTGCCCATTTCATACCCTGTCTGTATCACCTGCCTTTCTTGGAGGGTTTGAGCTGATTATGAAAGTTGGAGGCACTTTATTGTTGAGTCTGACAGGGGCTAAATATCCTCTTCCTGTGCCCTAATGAAACTGTTATTGATTTGTGCTAAGTGTTCTTTTTGAAGTGATCCAGCATTTAGTCTTAAAGTGTTTAACTCCTGATGAATAATCCCTTTTGGAAGGGAGAGGTTTGGATAGTGAGAGCGATGTTTATCTGAGATTTTTAGGAGGAAATTTTGGCTGTTGCATCCATACTCCTCAGTCAGGGCTCAGGGGAATATGGAAATCGGTCAATTTGACTGTACACATTGCAAAATGGAAATTTTGAGGGCTATGAATTCAGCCCTGTTGCACACATCAAATGAGACCAATTGTTGCATGTTTGCTATTTTGATGTTTACTTGTACAGCTTTTACGTGCTTATCTACAATTGTGGCCTTTTTACTGAAACCAGTATCCTTCAACTGCTTTGATATGTAACTACTTGTTTTTTTTAGTAAATGCATTATTGTAGTCTGATTTGTTCCGTGGATCAGGCAGCATGTAATCATTCTTAAGCTTTCTGTGTACGATATATTGCTAACTTTATGTTTCATATGTGAACACCTAATTGTCTTAACCTTTTGAGGTCAAAAACTACTGTGACTTGGGTTGGAGAGCACTGTAGTGTGCCCTGTGCATCATTGTAAAGCTTATAGTTACAGTAGCTTGCAAGACAAGTACAGTTGGTATCCTGCTTCCTTCAATTTTATAAACTGAATTCTTGGACAAAAAAAATTGCCTTTTTTAAAACAAATTTTCTCTTGTACTTTAATTACTATTTTCTTCTAGCAAACCTTGTGTGTATACTTTGTATGTGGTACCATTATTGTTTTGCTATCTTGAGGATTTGTCCTGTAGCTGTTGGAGAAATAAAAGTTACATTTAAAACAACGTATTGCAAAATAATTATGTAGTATCAAGAGCATGAGAACTTTGATTTCTGACTTATCGTTTTGTGAATAAATATTACATAAGTCTGTAACTTTGCAGTTTGTCCTCTCACAACCAGCCCATAGTTTTTTTTCTCTTATCGTCAGATTTTTCTCTATTATTCAGAGTCCCATGGGATTTGCTGGCTAGGCGAGCATTTCTTCCCCAGCCTTCATTCTTATCCCTTGAGAATGCCTTGAACTGCATCACAGTGCTGTTGGGCAAGTCGTTCCAGAATTTTGGCCACCAACAGCAAGGAAATGGTGTCATGTTTCCAAGTTAGGATGGTGAGTGGTTGCAGGTGCTGATATTCCTTTGTCACTGCATCCCTATCCTTCTAAGATGGTTGTGGTCATGTGTTTGAAGGGTGTTTTGTAAGGATCCTTGGTGAGTTTCTGCAGTGCATTTTGTAGGTGATGCACATTGCTACTGAGCATTGATGGAGGGAATATACATTTGTGGATATGCTGTGAATCAGGTAGACTGCTTTGTTCTGGCCGGTGTCAAGCTTCTTGAGTTTTGTTGCATTTGCACTCATTAGGCGAGTTGGGAGTATTCCATCACATTTCCAACTTATTCTATATAGAAGGTGCACAGGCTTTTGGGAGTCTGGTGGTGAGTTATTCACTGCAGGAGCCCTGGCTTCTGACCTGCTCTTATAGGCACAGTATTTGTATGATTAGTCCAGTTTGGTTCCTGGTCGATGATAAACCCCAGAATGTTGATAGGTAATGCCATTGAATGTTAGATACTATCTAGTTGGAAAATGTCGTTGACCAGCACTTTGGAGGCGTGAATAATACTTACCACTTGTCAGCCCAAGCCAAGATATTGTCCAAGTCTTGCTGCATTTGGACATGGACTGCTTCAGAATCTGAGTCATTGTGTGCAACGTTCAACACTTTTCAATCATCAGTCAACAATTCTACTTCTGACTTTATGATGGAGGGAAGGTCATTGATGAAACAGCTGAAGATGGTTGGGCTTAGGACACTACCCCCAGGAACTGGGTGCTTGTGGTACATTGGTAGCGTCCCTACCTCTGAGCCAGGAGGCCTGAGTTCAAATCCCATCTGCTTCAGAGGTGTGTAATAGAAAGTATCTACCCTCAGGAGCTCCTGCAAAGATGGCCTGGAGTTGATATGATTGGTTGTGGTTTTTGGTAAATCATTGTCCTTTATGCTGTATATGACAGCAGCTAGCAGGAGTTTTGATTTCCATTAAGCCTAATTTTGCTAGGGCTCCTTAGAGTCATACAGTAGAAAAGAGACCTATCGAGTCTGCATCGATCTATCTACTTGAATCCCATTTCCCAGCACTTGGCCAATAGCCTTTAGTGTTATAACATTTCAAGTGCTCATGCACATACTTGTTAAAGGTTGTGAGGTTTCATGCCTCCACTGCCCCCTCAGGTAGAGCATTCCAGATTTCCACCACCCTCTGTGTGAAAACCAGGCAGCATTGTAGAGAGATGCCGATCATCATTGATAGCGTAAAATTACAAAGAGATACTGCTAGCCTAGGTAAATGGGTGAAACTGTGGCAGATAGAGTTCAATGTAAGCAAGTATGAAGTTATCCATTTTGGAGCAAAAAAGTTAGGTCAGAGTACTTTCTAGATGAAATGAAGTTAAATAGTGGATGATCAGAGAGACCTGGCAATGCATAGATCTTTAAAAGGCCACAACCAGGTGCAGAAAATAACCAAGAAAGCTCATGGAATGCTGGCCTTTATATCTATAGGACTGGAGTATGAGGATGCAGATGTTATGTTGCAGTTATGCAGAATCCTGGTTAAACTCCACTTGAAGTGCTGTGAGCGGATCTGCCTACTGCACACCATAGGAAGGATTATATTGGTCTTGGAGCACAACATAGTTTTACAAGAATGATACCTCGACTTAAGGGGTTAGGTTACGGAGAGATTATACAAATTAGGCCTGTATTCTCTAGAGTTTAGAAAGTTAAGGGGTGACCTGAATGAAATCTTCAAGGTATTAACAGGAAAAGAAACTGGTTGGGGATTCTAGAACTAGGGGGCATAGTCTTAAAAGTTAGGGCCAGACCATTCAAGAGAGGTGTTAGAAAGTGCTTCTACACTCAAAAACGGTGGTAGTTTGGAGCTGTCTTCCACAAATGGCAATGGATACTAGATCGGTTGTTAATTTTAAATCCGAGATAAATAATCTTTTGTTAAGCAAAGGTTTTAAGGGATATGGGCCAAAGGCAGGTAATACGGACTTGAGGCACAAATCAGCCATGATCTCATTGAAAGGGGCTGAATGGTCGACTCTTTTTCCTATGTTCCTATGAAGCATTTTTCCTCAAATAGCTTCTAAACCTCTTGCCCTTCACCTTAAAAATTATTTGCCCTCATTATTGACCTTTCAACTAATGATGACATGGTGGCTCAGTGGTTAGCACTTGCTGTCTCTCAATTCCAGGGACCTGGGTTCGATTCCAGCCTCGGGTGGCTGTCTGTGTAGAGTTTGCACTGGATGCTCCAGTTTCTTTCCACGTTCCAAAGGTGTACAGATTAGGTGGATTGGTATTTGTTAATGTGCAATTATGGAGATAGGGTGTGGGAGTCCGTCTGGGTGGGATGCTCTTCAGAGGGTCAGTGCAGATGCAATGGGCCAAATGGCACTGTAGGGATTCTATAAAACAGCTACTTCCTATCCACTGTGTCCATGCCTCTCCGTCTTTATACACCTCTATCAGCACCCCTCTCAGCCTTCTCTGCTTTTAAGAAAACAACCCACATCTATCCAGCCTTTCTTCACAGCTAAAGTGCTCCAGTCCAGGCAACCTCTTGATGAATCTCCTCTGTATCCGCTCCAATGCAATTATATCCTTAACATCACACACTGTCAAATGCTGCCTTAATGTCTAGGGCAGTCACTCTAACGTCACCTCTGGAGTTCAGTTTTTGTCCATGTTCAAATTGAAACTAATGAAATCAGGAGCTGAATGACCCACAGCTTGGGTTCCACCAGGGCCAATGAGCAGGTTATTGTTAAGCAAGTACTGCTTGATAGCACAGTTGCTGACACCTTCCATCACTTTTACCAACGATTGAGAATAGACTGGGATTCAGTTTGCCCTACTTTTTGTGTTTAGTACATAGCTGGGCTATTTTCTACATTGCTGAGTAGATGCCAGTGTTGTAGCTGTACTGGAACAGCTTCGTTAGGGACATGACAAGTTCTGGAGCACCAGTCTGCTGGAATATTGTCTGGTCTGATTTCCTTCCACCTTTTCTTCAAATCACAGAGTGAATGAAATTGGCAAAGGACTTGCATTTGTGATATTTGGGATCTCTGGTAGAAGCTCAGATGATTCATCCACTTGGCACTTCTGGCTGCAAATTGTTGCAAATGTTTTTGCCTTGTCTTTTGAAATGTTGTTCTCCCATTGTTGAGGATGGGGATATTTGCAGATCTTCCTTATCCAATGAATTTTTGTATTATCCGTCATGGTTCACTGTAAGAGCACTTAACCTGAACTATCAACATGTTTTTTTACCCCAGCACTCTACACACCCACCCCCCAACTATAGCATAAATGCTGCCCCCTCCACACTTCACTTCAGCTCTGATGAAGAGTCATCTAGACGCAAAACATTAGTTTGCTCTCTCTCCATGGAAGCAGGTCAGGCAGCAGTGATCTCCAGCATTCGTTGTTTTCCATATCATTCGCTGTAAGATGTGGTAGGGCTGCAGAGCTTAGATCTGGGCTGTCGATCATGGAATTGCCTATCAGTTCTTGTACTTGCTGCTTGTGCGCTGTTTGGTGTGTGTGTGTGTGTGTGTAATCTTGTAGCTTCACCAGGTTGATGTTTCATTTTTAGATGTGCCTTGTATTATTCCTGGCGTGCCATACTACACACTACGTTGAACAAGAGGTATTTCTTTGGCTTAATGGAAATGCTATATTGGGGGATATATTGGGCCATGAGGTTTCAAATGATGTTTTGAGTACAAACCCACTGATGGCCTCATGAATGCTCAGTCTTGCGTTGCTAGGTTTGTTTAAATTCTATCACAGTTGGCATGGTGGTAGTGCCACATTACACAACAATGGGCATCTTCAGAATGAAGATGGGACTTTGTCTCTACAAGGCTGTGGTTCTTGCTGCTATTAATACTGTCATATTCATCTGTGACAAGCAGATTGATGAAGATGAGGTCAATTTTTTTTTCCTCTGTTCCTCCACCACCTGCAGTTATGTCTTTCAGGAGTCTACCAGCTCAATTAGTAGTGGTGCTGCTGAGTCATATTTGGTGATGGACATTGCAGTTCCCCTTGCCTATTTGCCGTTGTTTCCAGTGCTTCATTCAATGCCAGGTCGTCTGTCTAGCTTATTCCTTTTCTAAGCTGTTTTAATCATTTGATACAATGAAATGGCTTGTTTTGCCATTTGAGAGGACCGTTAAGCTTTCGCTATGTTGCTGTGAATCTGGATGTTATGATTGGCAATCTGTCTTTCCTAAGGGACATTACTGAATCAGTTGGGTTTTTATAACAGTGGTTAAATGGGCATCATTAACCTTTAAGTCCAGATTTTATTTAAACGCATATTCTACCATCTGCCATGATGGAATTCAAACCTGGGTCCCCAGAACATTACCTCGGTCTCTGGATCAATTGTGCAGCAACAATACTACTGTGCCACTGTCTTCCCCAATTGCATCTGTCCAAATTTAATTGCCTTTCTCCAGATGATTCCAATTCGAGCAGCCAATTTGCCAGACACTGCTGGAGTTCACATCACCATCAAGGAATGGTTGGCAAGGTCTCACCATTTTGTGGTAAAGTCCTGGTTTCAGCCAGGCAGAGATCTCCATTACCCTGTGAAAGAAACCTACTTCCTGAGCTAAAGGATACGACTGTAACACTGACAATACATAAACAATTTGGAGAATGCTTTCTTTCAGGAAATGAAAAGACCATCAACATGAC